GTTGCTCGTGAAATGACCCGCTCTTGTTTGGTTGACTGAACAAGAAACTGTGTTTCTCCTTAAAATATACTAGTAATGATAACAATAATCACGTACAATATCACCATAACTATGGAGATTGGATTTTAATGGAAAGATGCAAACAACCAAATACCTGTCAGAAATCAAAGCTAGGGGCTGGCTGCGCAGCACGGAGCCCTTGTTAGTTTTGCACTAGATCTTCATCTGCCGTTTCTGCTAAAGATTAAGCCAGCAAAAAATCCAGCTGAGTTGAAGCTTGAAATTATTCAATTAAATTATAAAGATAGGAATCAATTATTATCAGCTTTGCATAGAAAAGGGACCTTACACAAAAACATAAAAAATCAGATGAACAGAAAAATTGAAACAAAAAATTAGAAAAAAAAAATGATTGGACAGTCCATATGAACCCAAGAAGTTTGAAAAAAGAACCAACCTGAGGAAATTGGTAGTAAGATTGCGCTCCTTACTATTTATTTAATTGGGTGAGTTGCACTTATTCCTAGAAAATTTGTTGTGCAAGCAATTAATCAATGCAATGAAAAAGAAAGAAATTAAACGAATTAAATTTAATATAAATAAATATAATTAAAGACAGCCAGATTTATAGAAATTCAAACTTACCTCACTATGGTAAATCGATATGTGGGATATGAGAAATCTTGGGCCACTCAGACCCACTGCCCTCCGTGCAATTTCGCTTCAAAAGCGAACAGCTCCTAATTATCAGACGTGTTAGTTTGGAGAGGCTTTGCTTGGCTGTTGAACTTGACAGATACTTGAGATTCTGACATTCCCAAATTGTAAGCTCTTGAAGGGAAGAAAGGTTGGCCAACCAATCTGGCAATGCTTCCTCAAATCCCTCTCCGTTGAAACCATAGATCTTTAATTTCGTAAGGGAGGTGAGGTGTTGAAGTTGATGTGGTAGACTCTTCAGTTTCTTCCACCCAATTATCTTAAGCTCTTCAAGGGAGCCACCTAGGTGTTGGATTGAATCCATTCCAGGAAATGCCTCCAATTCCTGCGAGAAACCACCAATTTTCAACCCCTTCAATTGGTTTAGGCCGCGAAAGAAATCTTCCGGAATGTGACTTAAATTTCGACACCAGCTGATATCTAATCGAACAAGAGAATGCAGTCTTCTTTTTAAACCATCAGGAACAGACTTGAATTGATCACAACATCTAATGACTAGTGATTGAAAACGAGAAGGCCACACTTTTCCTCCATGTAAATCATCAAAGAAAAACTTCCCGCAGATCTCGATGTTCAATTCCTTCATATTTGCGTAGGATAGTGGCCAACTAATTCGAACACTTGCTTTTCCACACCAACCAATGAATACACTTACAAGAGAACACGATTCTAGAATAATAGAAGATACCAGATTGTAGCATGTAGAAATAGACAACGCCTCCAGAGCTATGCAGCTTTGAAGGCTTGGAATGGATGCCAGATTGGAACAACGCATTATGGTTAAATATTTTAGAGATGTCGCAGAGGCATGAAATTCACCAGTTATATGACTCAATGCATTACAGTCTCTGATTGTCAATCTTACAAGTTTTGATGAAAGATGGCTCATGGATGGGATGCTTTCCAACTTTGGACATCGTTCAATGTACAACTCTTCGAGGCAAGGAAATACTACTTGTACTCCACCAGCTATAGCTGCAGGTATCATCCATTCCACTAGACTACGCATGCCCATTACAGACAATCTTTTTAATATCGGGAATATTGGATTCGTTCCACTTCCACCACTGCTATAAAACTCCTGACCTATTATTTTCACACCATCCATTCCTTCTATCTCAAGAATTTCAAGATGAGAAAGATGTACTGCTGGAGGAAGTTTTTTACAGCCTTTCAATTTCAGCACCACCAAATTATTGAGTGTTGGCATCATAATCCATTGTGGGAATTCATCTCCCTGATAATTCTCAATCTCTAAGCTTCGTGTGTCTGGGTGAGGCTGGAGGCCTTCCAACACATCCTTGTAATTGATGCTGGAACTGCTGCTTTCTCTTTCTGAACTCCATACCAATACCAATGTGTTCATATTTCCTTTTCCAGACAGGTTTGCTCCCTTGGCTTCTTCTTTGTCTCTTACATGCTCCAGATTGACTATTCTCAACTTCCCTCTTAGTTCCTTCAAGCATCCCAGTTCTTCAATTTTGTGGCCCTTATCCTGCCCCACTTCAAAAAATGGCAGTGATCGAAGACCAGTTAAGCATCCAACATCAGCTGGCGTATGACTAAAGTCAACATGTCTCAAGCTTACCAAATATTCCATTTTGTTGGGAAGCTTTATCAGTGATCGGCAGTCGCTGAATCTTAAGGTTTGCAAATGATAGAGCTTCGTGATGGATTTTGGAAGCGCTTTGATATCTGTTCGTGAAACGTCGAGATACCTCAAATGTTTCAGCCTGCAAATTGAATCTGGCAACTCTGTCATACGAGCACCATTCAAGGTCAGACTTCGCAAACCTCTAAATTCCCAAGACTTGTTAAGGGATCTTGAGAATAATGTACGCAATTTTCTACCACCATACATTAGAAATGCTGGTTCATTTCTCTCATCAGAAGAAATGAGATTTAGATGTCTGATAAATGTACCATATATAGCTGAGCCAGGCTTCTGAATCACTGTCTCCGATTTTGTCACCATCAAAGCTAGATCGTGCACAAGATTGGGCATCTTGCAACAGATTACATTCCCAAGCTCATCCGTTTGGATATCTTGGAAAAACGAACGTGCAAGCAGGTCATTAAAGTTTCTATCACCTATATCTTCCATCTCCCCACGAACTGATGACTCGAGCAACCCTTCAGCCATCCAAAGCTGAATCAGTTTCTCCTTTTCAATCTCAAAATCTTTAGGAAAAATAGAACAATAAGAAAAACAGCGTTGCAGAGAAGGAGAAGGCAAATGATCGAAACTTAATTTCAAAATACGTAAAACTCGATCATAGTGTCTTGACATCTCAACAGCATCACTGTCTCTTATTGAACTCCATTTATCCTTGTCCTTTTCATAAAGCAAAATCGTCCCAAAAAATCTAGCAGCTAATGGCACTCCCCCACACTTTTTTGCAATATCTATTCCGATAGCCTCCAATTCTGAAGGAATCGACTCTCCTCCATTTCTAGACACTATTTCCCTAATAATTGACCAACATTCATTATTTGACAGTTGTTTCAGCTCATGACTACATGCAGTCTGACTCTCCATTATTGATGCTGTTAGTCTACTACGAGTAGTAACAACAACAACATTCCTATTATTACCACTAATTTTTAATAGACAATCCCTTAAAATCTCCCACTCCCCATGTTCTTCGTTCCACACATCATCAAGTACGAGAAGAAATGTTTTAGTCTCTAACTCTTCTCGAAGATGTGTCATTATTGCATCCATTTCAGTTATCCCAGAAGTGTTTTCATCAAGAGTTAGAAGCATTTCTCGTAAAATCCTTTTATCGTCAAAACTATCAGAAACACAAATCCAAAATGTTACATCAAAAAGTTTTCTATCTATAACTTCTCGGTGCACCATTTTTGCTACAGTAGTCTTTCCGAGCCCGGCCATTCCCACTATAGGAATGACAGAAAGAACTTGTTGGCTGCAAGAACTAATCAACAAGTTAATAATTTTAGAGACATCATCCCCCCTTCCTTTGACATCTTCTGAGCTGCATAAGAAAGAGTCTGTCAGTTGAGGGGTTGTATCTGCAGATAGAACTCTAAGCCCATACGAAGTTGCTGTTTCTTGAAGCTCATCGAGGGACTCGTTGATCTTTTGAAGTTCTGCGGCCAACCTCAGACAAATTGCCATTGGGTTGGAGAGAGAGAAGAAGCTACATACCTTCCCTTTCATACTGTTTTGAGTCTCCAGCTTCCGTTGAATAATCTCATAATCAAGCTCATCCAGCACATCTTCAGCTTGGTAAGCTATGTCTCGAAGCTTATCCAACCAAACCCTCGAGTCTGCATCCGTAACTTGTCTTTTTTCTGCATCTTGTAGCACTGCCTGAATAGTGCTATATTTCAACTTCAGCTTTTCCAGCTCTCCCTTAAATCCCCACGCAATATTGATCCTCTGAGCTGCACGAGCAGCACGTGAACCAACCCTCTTCCAAATCTCCTCAGCCATATTTTCTCTCAGGTAAACTATTAATGATAAGGAAGAAATGCTTTGCAAGTTTTGGAAACAATGGAGGTGAAATTACACTCGATACTAAAAGACATCAATCTTTTATCACGTGAATTTAAAGGCTAATTTTATCTGTAGGTGGAAACTGTAGCATAACTTGTGGCTCGGGTTCGGATGATATTTTTAATAGAGTACGTTAGTCATTGTTTGAAGGAAGCAACCAGACAATTATTATTATTATTATTATTATTATAACATTTTAGACGTGGGAAAGTAGTCTAGTTTTCTCCGTGCCTTTTAGACTTTCCTCAATATTAATATACATTATTAATATATTATATTATAATAATTATTATACAATACTTTAAATGATGGGGGAATTATTATTCCCCGCGTACAATGCACGATAAATTATAATAGTAATTTATAATACATTCTTCTTCTTTTTGTATTTTTTTAATTTTTTTCCTTTTCTTGTTTTTTTCCAAAATTACCTTTTTTTTAATTTCTATTTTTTTAATTTTTTCATTTTTTTAAATTTTTTTTATTGATTTTACTTTTAAAAATTGACATGGTTAAAATTTTATAAATAAAATACTGTGAATTGCTGCGGTGTTTTT